TTTTATTTTATTTTCAGTTCAATACGAAATTTGACGACATCTTATGCTAACCTTTACCGTGTTCGTTTAAAATGGTATGTCGTACCCAAATGATAACTAATTTTTAACAAAGTTTATCGACCGTCAAACGATAAATATTAGAAAAAAAAAAAAAAACTAGAACGATTTTTCTATATTTTCCCGAATAAATTACTTACGTTTGTTGTTGAATCTAGGGCTTAAAATGACGGAAAATTCGGAAAAATATTCGAAAAACATGGTTTTTTCTACGGACCCGTGATAAATCGAAAAAAAAAATCCAACGAGAGTAATAATTGATAGTAACAAAACATTAACACGAGAAGTCTGGAGATATATATCTTTATATACCTCCAGGATCATAAGTGATAATATAATAATATTATTTTATCGCATATTATTTACGTATTATAACCAAACGTTTACTTTATTTTCAAATTCAAATTGTACAATGTGCATTGCTGATAACAGTGTAATATTATTATACCATTACATCAATGCTAAATGGCATATTTTGCACATTCGTGATATTTAAAGGTGAGCAATTTTTTAATGAAGAATATATATTATATAATGTACCTAATATTATTCATTGCCATGGTTCGAATCTGAAGTCAAATTTATTGATAAAAATATATTATTGGGTAATTTTTTTTTTTTTCTATAAAAAACCTACTTTTGCTTTGTTCACACTTTAAGTGCTGTACTTTACCACTGAACCGCGTCAAAATCCAAACCATATTCATTACTGTTTATTAGTAATTTTTTTCGTTACAACTATAAATGTATATGTGTTATGCACTTTTATTTCCTGTCTTGAAAATGTATTATTCCACGATACGAGACCATTGGATCTCATTTTAAAATTTTAAAACGGCCGGTAAATAGGTTGTTCATATAGTTGTTATTACGGTAATATAATAATATGTTGCTAAACAATTTATTTTTGCCCTCGTTTCTATTTTCCTAATTTTTCCGATTGTTTTTTTTCAGAAATTGACAATTTCTAATTAGAACTCATGTAAAATAACTACTACACATCGGTTTTTTAGATTATGAGTGTATCGAAGAACGTATTGCTAAACGTATTGAAGAACAATCACGTGCGATTTGTTTTGTTTGTGTTTTCTGTCCGCAAACGAATTTTCTACCAGACATTCTGCTCCAATCTGCAAAATACGACCAGAAAGCTTTTTTGCAGCATTTCGGATCTAATCGGCGCGTCGAGTAAGCAGTTTTTTTGATTTTTCTTATAGTTCTCCAAAAAAAATGGGAAATACCGGGAATAAACGTAAGAAAACCGAGAAGAATTATACTGAAATAACTGTTTCATTGTTTTCGATTTTGTTGTTTTTTTTTTCGTCGTTTTTTTGGTTGACACGTTTTCTTACGGAACTCTAATAATAGATATTTCTGGACGTGATTAAATTTTAACATTCTGAGTATATTTAAACTGTATTATAATATTATATTATGTATATAGGATTCGACGTTGTAGAAGTTTTTTTTTAGTTATTATTCGATTTTATATTAAATTATGAAACACATTTAATCGTTGTGGCCCAACAGAAATACTTAAAAATTTAACACGGGGTTCGTTAAAAGTTTTAATTAGTGGTGAAAAAAAAAAAGAAGAAAAGTTTAACCTAATATAGTTTTTTTTTTGTGTAGTTTTTTTTTTTTTTTTTTTTTGTATGTAAGTTCGAATTTAAATGGAAATCACGTCATTGCAAAACATAACATTCAACTGAAATCGCATTTCGCTGGAAATGTGTTTGCCGTACACAGATATAAATTAAATAACTTTATGTATCCAACCTTATTCTTAACTTTCCGCCCACAATAGTGGAACACGGGTATTTTTTTTTTTATTTTTTTTTTTAAACATTTTTTTCTGGATGTTCGAGATTTGTACCGCAACATCGAACTATGCAATGGAATTCCGTACAACGTTTCTTTTGAAGTTTCTGGACAAACTATGTTCAATTAACTATACCGACATAGCTGTACAGTGCGAAACTTTTCGACCGGGTTTACTTCCCCTATACACAAAGTGATAACTTAATATAACAATATATATACAGACGCGTAGTCGTTGTAAAACTATATTATATAACACCCTGAGCCCCGTTTCTATCAACTCTAATCCCGCGATGTACAGGGTCCGTAAGATATAACTTTTATATGATATTGTTTTTTAGATTCGTATTAGGCGTTACGTTTTAACACATACACGTTCATGAAAAAAAATAAAAAAAAAAAAAAAAAAAAAAAAACACGTATGAGAGTTAGTTTATCGGGTATAATGGTAATAGTAGGTACAGTATTATAGTTTGCAATAGTGGTGATCAAATCCGGCCCGCGACCATTTATTAGTCGGCTCACCAAAGCATTAAATTGAAATTGAAAAAAAAGAAAATTACTTAAAATTTCAAAAATTAACACGCTCGCGTTAAAAAAAATGTGTACTTATGTATATTTTTTTTGTTTATAACAATCAATACGTAATAAATAATTAAATGTATCACTGTATCTATTATGTATTGATATGTACCTGCCTATTGCAATGCAATACAATAATCTATTAACTTAAAAGTAAAAGTTTAAATTCTTGGTCCGCCAAGATTATTATTCTTTTTTTTTAATGTCATCTGTTGAAGAAAAAAAGGTTGGTCACCACTGGTTTACGAGATATTTACGAAAATACCGCGCCTTTTTATACCTTAAACCTGTTAAACCATAACAAAAACACGGTACATACGGGACGCGCGCGAAGAGATTGGCGTGGACGAAAACATAGTTGATGTCGGGAATAATGTATTGCAACAATGGCCGGCATACAACACAAAAACTCGAAAAATCCTTTGTAGACGAGGTAGCAAAACTCTATTCGCGAGACGTGCGCCTACTATGTTTTATGATGTTTCCGCGGGATCGCAGACGTGCTCGTATTATCATTATTATTATTATACCGGAGAAAACCATTTTTCTGTTATGAACGGTACGATTGTGAACGAACATAATCAGTGGGACGGTAAGTGTATAATATATAATTCAAAAATCACAAAAGAACGCGGGCATTTGTACATTGACGTGCCACGGTGTCGTTTGATTAAAACGTTGTTATAAATTAATAATACCGAGAGAATCAAAAAGAACATTGTGCAGACGAGTAACCTGCTGATACCGCGGTTATGGCGTACGGTTCGGGGAAAGTGCAGTGGGCGGTGGACGACCACAAAAGGCGACGAAAGCATTCGGACAAAATATTATGTTCGGTCCAGTCTATCGTATAGAAACGAGAAGATACGGAAGAATGAATTTATCATTATCTACTTGCGAATTATACGCGGGACACTTAGGGATGTAAGCTCGAAACCTTTTTTTTTTTCCATAGACATTATTCAATTTTCATGGATAATTTTCAATATATTGGTCTTAATGTAATTTTCTTAACATAATTAATTGTCGAGGTTGTTTTGGTTGGTATCGCTGCATCACGCTTACACAAATTGTTGGTTATCAATGCTTGAATTTAATATAAATGATAATGAGTACGTATAATAACAACAAGTATGTATCTACTGTTTTGTGAATAATTTGTATGGAAATATCCGAAAAACATTTGTAATATTTTGAAATAGCTAAATTTTAATTACTAAGTCGGATTATACTCGTATATTGTACGAATATGCAATAAGACGATAATAACCGAAAAATACTAAAAAAAAAAAAAATGCAAAAAAAAACAAAACGAAACCGGAAAAAAAAAAGTTTCACTTTTGAAGTCTCTGTCGAAATTAAATTATATACTTGGGAAACATTGTCTTATATCACTCTAAAAGTGATGCATTTCCCATTAAATTCCGGATCCTAATTATTATAACTTTCAAGGCTAAGTTGAGATTTACTAGCAACTTTATTAAAATTACCTTTTTAAAACGTAATTTATACTCTAATATTAAATTTAGATTTGTATAGATTTACCAAACGACACTAGTGTGAATATCTCACATGCTTATTTTATTATGCGTACGATGATACTCACGTAAAAATACGTAATTTTTAATAAATGCAAAACATATAGTTACACGATTGATTTTACAAAATCGCGTAAATAACTTTTTGAAACAAATTAAATTTTAACATAATAAATAATTTAAGTTGAAATTAAGAAATAAATAAGTAATTTTCTAAAATAAATTTTGTTTTTTTTTTTTAATTCTAAAGTAAATCATTTTTTAATTAGTTTTTAACATTTTAATTAGTTACTACGGTCTTGCTTTGATGTTGAATTAGTATTTAGAAAAAAAAAGAATAATAATGTTTTTAAAATTCTATAGATTAGAGTTGAACATGTACCTTTAATTTCTCGTGCAGCCACGTTACGCGGGGTTCAGTAATGCGTAATTCGTGACAAATGAAAAACAAAAGGGAATTGCGAGTTTTTGAATTATCGCGCCGATAATTAATATTTTGTCAAAATCGCTTTGTAGGTACAATAATATTATTATTTTTCCGTCGTATCGTCGAATTTTCGATCACGCACTGTAAGTTATAATACTACGGATCCATTATTAATGCGCGTTCAAAGCGAGGATGCGAAATTATCGTAATTGACATGTTATACTTAGGTATGCCTCTCTATTCACGTCTGTCTTGTGTCAACCGAACAATATAGTGTAATTCGATTTCGGATAAGTTTAATCAAATAGGCGGCGGCGTAACGTTGGAAATAATATCGTATAATAATATAACATTTTGCGTTTATCGTCAGCTAAATTTACAAAATTGTCAACTAAACGATTGAATGACGTACCGATGTACCGATATAATACTGCGATAATATTGTTGCTGGTGTGTCATGAACACGTTTTGAAATAAAAAATAAAATAACTATCGAAATGACGTATAATAATATTATGTAGGTATTGTACTGCGGCAATAACTACACCCGGGTAGTTTATCCACGTAGATATCAGGAAACAAATAGCGTTTGGATTGGATTACTAAACAATTATCTAGATAAAGATAGACGATATTGGAATTCGTCTAGAGATAAACGTATTTGTTTAGATATAGGGGGGGGGGAAGAGACAGATTATGTTTTTATTTTACAACAGGGATAAAGCGGTCTGGGCGAATGTATAGATTTTTTAACTTGGATTAATTTAAAATGAAATGTTAAGTGTAAAAAAGTTAGTTTCATTTTTACTACGGTAAGTGAAAAAGTTAAAATTATGTTAGCAAACTTGATTAATTAATTTAACTAGGACAAACAAATTTGTTTATGTTCATTCTTTAACCTTGTCCTTGTTAGGTAGTATGCAAATTCGACTTGATTACAACACAATATAATATCATTATTAATAAGTTACTTGACAAACAAACAAAAAAATGCCAAAGTCAAAGGCTTCAGGTAAATTAATTTAACAACATAACTAATTTATTAACTTGGTAATATCTATATCTATACTATGTATATTGCATTATACGATGTATAATCAATGATATATTACTTATATTGTTAAACGGGAGTACAAATAAAAACTAAAACATTTTCATTATGGACAACAATATTGTGATTATTTTTATATTTTTGATGAAATAAAAAAATTGTTATCTTAGGATAATGGGGACGGGTGCTGCCACTGTTGTTGGTGAGAAGTTGGGAAGGTACGATATAAATGGGAAAATTAATTTGTACCTCTAAGCAACGATAAAACATTGCTTACTAAAAATAATTCTGAATGGTAGGTCTACCATTAAGTTTTGCGAGGCCCAGGGCAAACCTCTTTCAAAATAAATTAATACGTAAAAAAAAACATCTTCATATCTACTTTCATAATACTAATAATCCTAATGCCTAACTTTTTATCGGATCATCATAAGCAATCGAAAAAAAGTAACCTATTAAATCGTATATTGCAAAATATTTTGACGGGGCTTCTTAATTTAAATGTTACTTTATTCAATTAAAATTAGACTGTTAGTAAAACTATTTAGTTTATTATGTTTATTTAGCCCTAAAAATATATTTAACATGGTTTATATAAACTAACAAACAAATATATAATTCATTACTAATCAATTCCTAATTAAGTA